TTCAGGTAAGCAGGAGGAGACCCCAGAGAGAGCAGCGCCACAAAAACCCAGAGAGGAGATAGCATCAATGGGAAGGGGACGGTCAAGAACATCAAAGGCTAAAGAGACGTCCAAAAGCATGAGCAATGAGAAAAGGCCATTGGGTTTGGCAACGAGGAGATCGCTAGTAACTTGGGAAGGAGGAGTTTGGGTGGAAGGATGAGGTTGGAACAGGGACTGTGGAGGATAGTGGGAAGAGAGGAAGCGGGAGCTCATATTGTAGACAGTCTTCTCAAGGTGTTTAGCCACACAAGGGAGGAGAGATATGGCATCATAACTAGCAGGGATAGAGGAACCATGGGAGGTTTTTGGAGGATGTTGGGATCATGAGAAGTGCTTGTAGGAAGCAGCCAGTGGGCAGGGAGAGATCGTAGATAAGTGAGAGAAGGGCAATCTACTGGGATGGGATCATTTGTGAATGCAGAGGAGTTTGCCTTGACAAGAAGGGTCACTCTTCATATGAGACAGGGGTGAAGGCAGAGGTGATGGCTGAAAGCACCTGGGCAGTGTGAGATGAGGAGGAGAGGATTAGAGGTGGTTCTCACGGGGAAGGCTGTCAGCTGAGAAGGCCTCTTAGTTATTCCTCCATCTACCAATGCCTCAGAATTAGGGTTAGGGCAGGCTTCCTCTGAGTTCCAGATAAAGTTCTGTCTTCCACAGGAAGCTTTTTCTGATCTATCTTAATCCCAGTGTCTCCCCTCTGCTGATTATTTCTGATTTATCTTGTATATAACTTGTTTGTACAGAGACGTTTGCATGGTGTCTCCCCCATTAGATTGTGAACTACTGGGAAACAGGGACTAATCTTTTGTCTTCCTTTGTATCCTCAGCACTCAGCACAGTGCCTGGCACACAGTAGGCACATAATAAATGTTTATGACTGGCAGATTTACTGACTAACTGGGAAGGGTGGCTATGGGAGGTTTAAGGGGGGAATGAAAATGTTTATAAATGAGTGGGATAGCAAGTCTTGCTGCAGTGAGTGCCCAGAGTTTGAGGAAGTGTCACTATGCATGTTGAAGTCCCCTAGAATGAAGGCAGTAGCTGGGAAGGAGTGAAATCATTGAGGAAAGGAGAGTGTTGTGGAGGTTTGTAGACCCCAGCTACAAGAATTTTGATTGTATGGTAAATATGGATTGTGTGAACCTCAAAGGTGGAGAGGTTACTGAGTCACGGTGGTGGAAAGTGAGCTTTGACATGGCAATGGGGAGCAAGAAGAATTACAACTTCCCTACCACGTAGAGGCTTCAGTGTGTGCCACAGTGGATAGAACCCTGAGCCTGAAGAGGAAGACCTGAGTTCACATTTGGTCTCAGACACTTCCTAGCTGTGTGACCATGGACAAGTCACTTAAGTGCTCTCTGCCTCAGTTTACTCATATGTAAAATGGGAATAATACTAACACCTACTTCTTGACTGTGAGAATCAACTGATATAATATTTTGTAAAGCACTTAGCATGGTACCTGGCACATAGTAGGTACTATATACTATATTCTATATACTATATACTATATGTTATATACTATATTCCTTTTCCCTACCTTGACTATAAGTCAAGGGAATGAGTGAAAGTGCAGTCAGTGCTGGAAAGAGTGGTCAGGGAAGCTGTGTCATTTAGGAGGGAGCTGGGTCCCAGTGAGAGCCAGAAGATGGAAGGAGTGGGAAAGGAAAAGATTTGAGGTGAAAACAAGTTTGTTACAGGTGGAACCAACATTCCAGAACACTGTGACCTGAGTGGGTATTAGTGTGAGACACTGGTAGTGAGGGGGGTTGGGTTAAAAAGAATGGGAATGAGGCAGTGGGGGGGGGGGGAGAACAGGGTTTAAATAATGACACAGCTCTGGGAGTTCAGAATCACTGGGATGATGAAGATATAATCACGTGGAAATTTGTTAATCACTGATAAATTAGTTCAGGTGGGTTATTAATAGCACTTAGGGATTAAGCTTGGAGGTGGAGTCCTTTCAGAGGGTTGGGTGGCTCAGGCTGGGGAGTAATGGTGGGGTGGAGACCTGATGGGATATTTCTCTGTTCTCAGGCTGGAAGCAATGGTGTCTCTGTTCCCTGCAGGCAGGAAGAAGCCAGCATAGGTGACCAGTATGTCTGGTGCTGCTAGATCTCAAATATACAACAAAGCAATAATCATCAAAACCATTTGGTATTGATTAAGAAATTGTGAGGTTGATCAGTGGAACAGATTAGGTACACAGTATGCAGAAGGAAATGAGAATTTGATAAACCACACAATAAAAATTAAATGTTGCTGGCTAATGTGAAGATATGTTTTGCTTGACTTCACATACATAATCCATATCAAATCACTTGTCTTCTCAAGGAGAGGGAAGGGCAGGAGGGAAGAATCGAATATGGAACTCAAAAATGTTAAAATTTGTTTACAAGTTATTGAGAAATATTTAATGAAACAATATATATATATGTACATATTAAAAAGGAAAGAAATTCAATGTTGCAAAATTATAAAGAACAAGCATGTCTTGAAAGAAGAAATAGGGGCAGCTAGGTGGTGCAGTGGATAGAGCACCTGCCCCGAAATCAGGAGGACCTGAGTTCAAATCCGACCTCAGACCAAACACTTGACACTAACCATGTGACTGGGGCAAATCACTTAACCCCAATTGCCTAAAAATTAAAAAAAAAAGAAGAAATAGGAAAGGACGCTCCCAACCCACCCCTGTGGAGGTGGGAGGTCCGCAGTGTTACACGTTGCATGTAATTTGGACTGTTTCATTGCATTGGCTGGACAGGCTCCCCTCCCCCCTCTTCCTTACCCTTACTTTTGGGGGGCGAGGTCTCAAATAATTTGTTTTATGGGGTAGCTTTCTGGGCAAGGGGGGGGGTAATGGATATTTGAGGAAACTATGGTGATGACGAAAACAAAAGACAGCAGTGAAAAGTATTTAATAAAAAGTTTCTGATGTTGAGCTGTGACGGTGCCGAGGACTTTGGTGGGAAGACCTTCCCTTTCTAGGTCTTCGGTAGCTGTGGCTGTAGCAGCTGCACTAACTCGCAAGGGTTGCGTCCCAGGACACTGGGCTGGACACTTCGCTTGCCCCAGTGTTTGCAGAGGAGAAGGTGGTCCGGGTGGCCGTGGTTTCAATGCCTCGGCCCTTTCTCGATGCTTCTGCCAGGCTGGCTTGCCCGCCCTGGCGTGCCATTTGGTTGGCATTTGGTGGTGAGGGCTGCCTCCCCAGAGAATGACTGTGAGTGTGGAGAAGGAGGTGGGATTGGCGGTGGTAGAGGTGCGGTGACAGTCCTTCTCGGGATGAAAGGGAAAACCATTTATGAAGCACCTGATCTGTGCCAGGTACTGGGCTAAGGGCTCTGATGAGCAAGGCGGATCCTTGGATTTCTCACCTCAGTGGCGGGTGGAAGCAGGGCTGGGGTCTCGGGGGCACCCCCATTTCCAGGACTCTCGAGTTCAGGGTCCTGGGCTGCCACTGGCAAGGTCTGAAAAAAATTGGTGGCCGAGGTGTGGGCACCCACGAGGTGGGTCCGACCTGTCTGATTACATGATTTTTGTCCTGAACACCTCCAGACCCCGAGGGGAGCATTTAACTCCTAGACTTAGAAAGTATCTGACGCAATGAATACCACTCTAAACCTCTTGGAAATCGGAAAGCAAAGTGAGGGAGGATCGCTTATCGATGGCCGTCCTCCACGGGGAGAGTTCCAGAGGTGATGGAATGATGAGGTCCAGCTGAACAGCCGCTGGGAAGGGAATGGGAGCTTCCTGGGGGTCGCCCCGGGAGAGACGAGGCTCCTCCCCCCGGGAGAGACGAGGCTCCTCCCCCCTCCCCCAGCCCCGCCTCCATCCCGCTTTTAGCCCCGCCTCTCTCCCATGGCCCCGCCCCGACCTGCCCCTCTCCTGGCTCTCCCCCGCTCCTTCTCTAGCCCCGCCTTTTCCCTACATCTAGCCCGGTCGGCCAGTGCCCTTTCCGGGGCGGGGGTCGCTCTCCTCTACCCCGCCCCATTCCCGTAGCCCCGCCCTTTCTGCCCCAGTTTGCCTTCTCCTAGCGGTCTCTTCATTCTACCCCGCCTCTTCAGGTGTCCGCCTCTCATCTGTCCCTCTCCTCCATCCCCGTCTCCGCTTTCTCTCTCCCTTTCCCAACCACAGCGGCCCTGCCCCCTCCTACCTTTGTGGTCTTCTTACACCTTCCATCCCCCATGTACTCCCCGATCCGGTGTCCCCAGCCTCCTGGCTGTTCTCCTCTCCGTTCCCCAGGCCTAGAAAGCTCTCCCTCCTCATCTCCTCACACTTACGTACCTGGCTTCCTCAAAGTCCCAGCTGCAACCCCAGCTTCTATAGGAAGCCTTCCCCACCCGCTTCTTAATTCCGGTGTCTTCCCTCTGTCCATTATCTCCTTGGCTTTGTACGTTTTTGCAAGCTGTTTCCCCCATTAGATTGTAAGCGCATTGAGGGCAGGGGCTGTCTTTTGCCTCTTTCTGTCTCCCCGGCGCACAGCGCACTGCCTGGCACGTAATAGACATTTAATAAATGTCTATTGACTATTGTAGTTCTCTTCTATTCCTGCCTCCTCTCCATGCTGTCGTGTTTAGCTCCATGCTGCCTCCTCCCGTCCTGCCTCGCCAGTTCTCTTCTATCCCCGCCCCTTCCCCGCCCACTTTGCCTCTCCCTGCCGTCTCTATCCCCGCCCCTCCCGTGTAGCCCCGCCCCCTCTCCTCCCGCTCGGCCTCTCCCAGCTGTCGCTCTCCTCTCTCCCCGCCTCTCGAGCGCTAGTCCCTCCCCCCTCCTCCCGGCCCCCTCTTCGTCCCCGTGGGGCTGGGTCACGTGCTCCGGCGGCGGCGCCTGCGCAAAGCGCGCCCCGGCGGCTGTCAGGATGAGGAGGCGGCGGCGGCCGGCGGCCTGGCCCCACGGTTCCCGCGGCGGCCCCGGCGCCCGCTGAGGCCGCGCCTGTCCCGGCCCCGGCCCCGGCCCCGGCCCCGCTGTCCGCTTGGGCCGCTCATGGCGCAGCCGGGCCCTGGAGGAGGAGAGGCCGCTTCCGATGGTGAGACCGGAGGCGGCGGCGGCGGCGGCGGCCGGGAGGGACGGAGGGAGGCCCGGGCCGGGCCCGAGCTCGAGCCGGAGGCGGGGCGGGCGGGGCCCCGGGATTCCCTCTGTCTGTGCGGGCGGCGTTCAAGGCCCTGCCCGAGGAGGGGGCGGTGGGGAGAGGGGGCAGGGAGGCCGAGCCGCTCGGCCTTTCCCGCCCCCTGGCCTGTGACCTTGCCGCCGCCAGAGCCACCCGCGCGGCTCCCGGAGCTGCCCCTTCCCTCGCTCGGGCCGCTGCAGGACATGCTGTGGCTCCCAGGGGCCCCCGGTGGCCCTGCGGGTCTTTCCTAGCGCGGGATGGGCTGCCTGAGGCTGCGCGCCGCCTCCCCCTGGAAACCACCTGTTCTCATCTCCTGCCCCCTTTGGGAAGCCTTCCCGGATTGCCCCAGCTCTCCAAGTCTGGGGCCCAGCGGGGTGCCCAGGAGCTGCTCAGTGCTTGGGACTTGTGGGAAAACTGGCCAGGGGCTGTAATCTCCATCCATAGAGTAATTGGATCTTGGTATAGAGGAAGGGAGCCTAGTCACTCGATGCTTTTAGCCTGTGTGTGTGTGTGTGTGTGTGTGTGTGTATTCCTGCACGGAGGCCGGGAGACATGGGTTCGAGTCCCACGCAGGCTGGGTTTTCCCCCTCTGTAAAAATAGGGTGGCAGCGCTCCCTGGCTCCCTTTGGCAGGGCTGTGCCCACTGGGTGCCTTGTTGTGTAAATGTCACTTTGTTCCAGCCTTTGGGACTGGAAACAATGTTATCAGATCTGCAGGCCGGGCCCCCTGGGGAGGTGTTGGCTTGCTTTGGCTTCTCCTTCCCCTGGGAAGGGGGAGCAGCTGTCACCTCCCATCCTGGAGAGGGGGGTGGGGGACAGCAAGACGAAGAGGCATCTCCTGGGTCCACGAGGACTAGACGTCGCTGAAGGCGAGCTTGGCAGGGCTTGGCCATCCTCCTTCAGTGCCTTTTGATGCAGTTGTCCTGGGGGATCCTGGCCCGCTTGGGTGAGGTTAAAGGTCTCTGGATGGAGGGTTGTTCATTGCTGTTTTTAAATCCAGTCTTACAATTTATTATGCAGCTGCATTGCGAGATCCAAAAGTCCAGGTACACATAGATTTACAACTCTTTACACTCCAATGAGATTCTGTGTTTAGTATATTCCTAACAGTTTGGGTATCCCCTTCCATTCATTTCTATATTTGTGTCTACATTTAGAGTATTACAGCATAGCTTTGTAGCTGGAGGGAACCCTTGATCTCATGTAGTCAACCTTCCTCATTTTACAGAGGAGGAAACTGAGGCTCCCAGGGATCAAGTAGTGCATTGCAGAATGATATCTATCCAGTATTGTTTTCAATGGGACATGCTGAATTTTTACTTACCATATAGCCTAACAGCTCCTTAGTTATCCTTTCACTGACCATTCCTCTGTTGCTATTTGTAGATAGGGTTGTCCTTTCATATAACTTTAGCCTGCACCCTTGGCTGCACAGCTCTCAGATTGGCAAATACGTCAAGTGATTGTGGCTAAACTGCTTTTTTTTTTTTAAAGCTCTTCTTGTCTCTTTATTGTGCAGGCTTATTCATGTGAGTCACACTTGTGTATAGAATTATCATAATTGGTGTGGATGTACTTTCTTCTGTCCATATCCTATTTTCTGGTAGTAGTAACTTAATAGTTTTAATTGCACATCATCACTTATTTTTTTCACTCTTATGATAATTTTGATTTTTGTTCAAACAAGTGGTTTGACTGTCACAGCCCATTGACTCTCCTATCAGTTAGGACTCATTTCCTGGCTACTCAAATATAATCAGTTTCATCTTTTGTGATATTACTTGGTGCTTTCTGATTCTTTTCTAGAAGAGAGGGAGACTTTTTTGGTTGTTTATAAATCTTTGGGTTTTCTTATTCATTATTTCTTAGCTACGTTTTCTTTCCAAAACACACACACACACACACACACACACACACAGACACACACACACACTCACACACTTGCAGTTCTCAGCCATTCTCACCGGGGCATTGTATACATTGATTTAATTTGGGTTAGGGTCTTCTTAAACTCTTTGTAGAGTTTCTATACCTCTGTGTCATCTGCAGATGATGTTAGTGACCAAGTTGCAGTTATTTTCATGGTGGTCTTTTCACAAACACTGCAATGAAAGATAACTGGATGCCCCAGGAATTATATTTATTGTTGCCTTTGGACATAGGAGAAATCCAACTGTATCAATGACTTTATTTGCCTCAGAGGAGAACCTGTGAGCTCCTTTCAAATAGAAATGCTATATAAAGTGCTGTGGAGAAGGCTGGTGAAAGAACGTGAGCAGTATTTCCGGATTAAGTAAGAGAAGTTAGGTGGAAAACCAGTTTAGAGAAAGCTAGTGAGAGACCCAGCTAAGTGAAGTTACATTGAGGCCATTGAAGGCTGAAACTGGAAAGACGACAGACAAAAAGGGGAAACACCAGCCAATCTATGTATACATGTATGTGTACATACATGTGGATATATGTGTGCATGTGTCTACACACATGTATGTGCACACCTATTTGTAGGTGCAAAAGCCCATGTGTACATAGACACACCTATACAGGGCATCTCAAGTGTCTTAGTGCAGCTTGAAACTTTGATAGTTTAAATCTCCACTAAGACTTGAAATACCTTATGTTGATTTATAGCATATTACTAATAATGATGATAGTGCACATTCATAGAGCACTTTGACATTCAAGCCTATGATCTCATGTGATCTTCAGACAACCCTGGGAGATAGGTCCTCTCAGTATACAGATAAGAAAACTGAGGCATTTAACGGTTCAGTGACTTGTCCAGGGTCACACAGCTCAGGTCCAAGCTCTAGACCCTGTGCTGCACAGCTTTTCATCCTCAAGGCCACTGGCTACATTTGGACTCTACCATCATTGTCCTTTTGATACTTTTATGGAGAAAACAATGATGGAAAAAGCAGCTTCAGATTAAGTGTTACAAAGAGGAGGTCCGGTGCTGAAGCCACAATTTGAGAATGATGAGAGATATCAGAGTTTTGGAAAAACGTCTCAGGCCTTACTAACGGGGGAAAAGGTGGCCAGAAAACCTCAGCCACCAAACTCTAGGTGCTGACTTTCCCATCCATCTTTACTGTCAACTCTTGCAGTGGCAGCCTCCCTCAGGAGGGAGTTAGAAAGGAAACAACAGCCTTTCTCATCTCAGGGGATATCCCATAGTGGATCACAGCACTGTTCACTGAAGCATAGAGAAAATACAGGTCCCAGGGTGCTTCTTATTTGTAGACTCTAAAAAGCATTTGGTTTGATGAATCGCTTTCACACCCCCTCTCTACTGCCCGTAAACAGGCCTGAGTCTCCCCTATCCTAAAAAAAAAAAAAACCCTCACTTGGTCCTTCCATCCCCATAACAGTCATCCTAGGTCTCTTCTGCCCTTTATGGGTCAGCAACTCAAAAAGCCGATTACAGTTGGTGCCTCTGTCTTTTTTTCTTTGTTGTTCAGTTGTTTTTCAGTTGTGTTCAACTCTTCATGACCCTGTTGGGGGTTATCTTTGCAAAGATCATTGGAGATATGTGCCATTTCCTTCTCCAGCTCCTTGGGGTTAAATGACTTGCCCAGGGTCACACAGCTAGTAAGTGTGAGGCCAGATTTTCTTTCTCTTTTCTTTTTTTTAAAATTTAATTTAATTTAATTTAATTTTTTTTTTAACAAATGTTTTTAAAACTTTGAGTTACAAATATTCTCCCTTCCTCCCTCCCCACCTACCCTCATTGATAAGGCAAGCATCTCGATACAGGTTATAGATGTGTAGTCATGCAAAACACTTCCATAGTAGTCCTGTTGTGAAAAACTAAGTATATTTCCCTTCATCCTATCCTACCCCCCCATTTATTCTATTCTCTCTTTTGACCCTGTCCCTCCTCAGAAGTGTTTGCTTTTGATTATCCCCTCCCTCAATCTGCCCTCCCCTCTATCAACCCCCTGCTCTCTTGTCCCCTTCCCCCTTTATTTTCCTGTAGGGTAAGATAGATTTCCATACCCCATTGTGTATGTTATTCCCTCCTTAAGCCAAATCCTATGAGAATAAGGTTCACTCATTCCTTCTCACCTTCTCCCATTTCCTCTCCACTGTAAAAGCCTTTTCATGTCTGTTTCATGTGAGATAATTTACCCCATTCTACCTCTCCCTTTTTCCTTCTCCCAGTATAAGCCTCTCTCACCCCTTAATTTTATTTTCCAGATATCACCCCTTCATCTTCAACTCACCCTGTGCCCTCTATTTACCTATCTATACATACATATAATTTTTTTCCCTCCAACTACCCTAATACTGACAAAGGACTCATGATTTACAAATATCATCTTTCCCTGCAGGAATGTAAACATTTCAACTTCAATGAGTCTCTTATGATTTCTCTTTCCTGTTTACCTCTTCCATATTTCACTTGAGTCCTGTATTTGAAAGTCAAATTTTCTATTCAGCTTTGGTCTTTTCCTCAGGAATGCTTGAAAGTCCCCTATTTCATTGAATGACCATTTTTTATGCTGAAGGATTATACTCAGTTTTGCTGGGTAGGTGATTCTTGGTTGTAGTCCTATCTCCTTTGCCCTCTAGAATATCATACTCCATGCCCTCTAGACCCTTACTGTAGAAGCTGCTAAATCTTGTGTTGTCCTGATTGTGTTTCCACAATTCTTGAATTGTTTCTTTCTGGCTGCTTGCAATATTTTCTCCTTGACCTGGGAATTCTGGAATTTGGCTACAATATTCCTAGGAGTTTTCCTTTGGGGATCTCTTTCAGGAGGAGATTGGTAGATTCTTTCAATTTCTATTTTGCCCTCTGGTTCTAGAATATCAGGGCAGTTTTCCTTGATAATTTCTTGAAAGATGATGTCTAGGGTCTTTTTGATTAGGGCTTTCAGATAGTCCAATAATTTTTAAGTTCTCTCTCCTGGATCTATT